TTACTAATTAGTCCAATTAGCTTCGTGCGGTAGTGATTAATTTATATGCGACTTAACTCGTAACCCTAAGACAACCGAGAAGCAGAAGTCCTCAAAAAGTCGTTTCACTGTAGTAGTAGTCGTCATATGGATGTAAATAGAAAACAATGGGATTTCGAAATAATTCCGATTACTGACTTGTATCTAGGTTTATCACAAACTTAACTTCTACCCATTAGCTGAATATTTGCTATCAATCATTTATTATGCATGTTGAATATGGCATGAATTTTTAAATATATCAGCTTCACCAGAACAATATAGTGTTTTAAGATTTGTAAGAATTTTGTGCTCTATCAGTTTTTATAGTTTTTCCTTGAACTGTCTAGGCTATTTCCACCGAACAACAAAAGTTCGCAACTCCCTCAAGACGTGTTTCACACTGTCGATATACAGTCAATCGTGCCGATGCAACGTTTAAACTATTGCATCAAACGCAATTTAACTCTTTCACTGTCACTATATATCGGGTGGCCCAGATAAAATGGGACACTTTGTTTGTTGTTTTTGAGGCACTGTCCAGTAGTTCAAAGAGTTCGTTTTAAGCTCAGTCGATGGCGAATTGAATTCTCTACAAAACCTGCCATTTTAGTCTCGGATAGCGCTGTACCTAGCGATTTTTCTTGCTGAAGTACCATTATATTGAATGGTACTGAGTTGTCGCACTGAGACGTGCTTTCTTCTCCTTTTTTGACATTTTTAGTCCTTTGTGTGGGATTCAATAGTTAATTATAGAAGCATAGGGAAGTTTGTACTCTGTCGATCTCACTCATTTACAATTTCACTACAAAATTTTGCAAAATATGTGAGGAGATGCAAAATTTTCCGGCGAATCTTCCGATGTTTCAAAACTCTTATGGAATCTGTTTTTGGATCGAAGCAAATATTTTTCTATTTTCGGTGTGTCGCAGTCCAACAACTTAGCACCATTCAATATTTTGAATGATACTCAAACAGTTGAGTCTCCTCACATATTTTGCAAAATTTTAAAAATAGTTCGTTCGATGTCTAATCATCCTAAACAGTGTAACATCTTAAGCTTATCCGTTGGCCGTTTACATCCGGAAACTAGGCACGCAAATTTATACTGAAGAGAAACAATAGGACTGAGATCGGTTTTATGTGTTAAAGAATAAATGACAAATGCGACATTCGGCTCAGTTTTTGATCCTGATTGACAAGGAATCGAATGATGTAATAAAAAGTATCGGTTAATTTTTAGTATAAAATCGCTCTGTGGCGAAATGCTCGATGGACTTGCGAAACCTCTCTTAAAACAGTAAGAAAATTATAAGGAATATACAAGCTTCTGTGCTCCATCCGAAGAATACTTTAAATGAATAACTGCGCCTTTTCCGTACTGTGAAAATCCCCCCCTTCTGTACACACGGTAGTTCTGGATTGCCCGGCGTATCTTGTGGAGTTGCCGCTGTTATTACTGTTACCAATTGAGTCTTATTTGAGAGGGCTGTGCATTGGACAAACTCTATCCTCATTCCTCTTCTACCAACAGACTTTTCTCTTCTATCACAGACTTTTAAATTTTTTTAAAAAAAGTTTTAAATAATTTAAAATAAAATTTTAAAAAATTAACTTTTTTAAAATTCTATGATATAATATAAGTAAGCACACTACTATAGTTATTTGTACCAAATCACAGAAAAATTCGTTTTTGTTTTGTGTAAAATTTTTATATTATTTAAAAGTGATCGAATTTTGTATTAGTCCCATTGAGAAGTGTAAACGAGTCATGCATGAGTATCTTGCCGAAAAATTCTTATAACTAAAAGATCTATCAAGTTAATAATTTTAATTTGATTATTAATAATGCATGAGGGAATTAAGTGTCTATTTGTATGATACAGGCGCTCATCCAGGATAATCACATGCATTCGCGTCGATATCATACATAAGCACACCAGGACAAGTGTCTTCTTTAACCAACGCTTCACCAGCGCATTGGTAGAAATAACGACAACCACTATTCAAATCGGGATAGATCCCGTCGGACTTGCCAATGCCTACAAAGTAACTTTCATGTTAAATTCGAATGTAAACAGACTTGAGAGGAAAAGTGCAATTCACTTACATATGTACTGTGAATTTTGAAATATTGGATGAGGGAAATTTTGAGAAATTACTTTTGAATCGGGTACACACACATTCTGATCTTGCGTGAATTCACATTGATCCGTTTGATAATTGAACAAGTTTCCATTTTCACATTCTAACTTCATCCGAATACCATTGGCACAACGATAGTATTTGTTGCATTTTCTCGGATTGGGAATGAAGAGAACACCCGTTGATGGACATGTGTTCACATTCACATTAGTATCACCTCAAAGTTACAAGAATAGAGAGGGTGTATGACAGTGATCATCCTCTCTGGCTTACCTGATTCTATTCCTTCGATAGTGCGGCATTCTGAACGATAAGTACAACGATTCTCAGCAATATTCCATCCAAATTTGAATTTTTGAAACTGTAGCGATTTTGAGCAAAACCGATCTTTTCAAATGTTTCAAAATTTTCTCAAAAATTAAGACTAACTTTTTCTTACTCAGCTCGGTGTCCTCAATCCAACCATGTATGAATATATCACAAAAAAAAGTTACTGAAACTTCGAATTATGGATGCCGTAAATAATAGGCAAATTTATTTTTGTGATTCAAAGGGTTGCTGATGAATACTATAAAGCCAATCATCAATTTATAAAGTAGTTAACAATGAAACGTGTCGTCCTGGAATTAATGTCATACTTTAGGGTAAAATACGGTGCTGACAACTCAAAAAGCAAGTAAAATTTGGTTTTTATTGTGTTTATACATAAGTGGATAGAGCTCACCGAGTTACATGGTAAAAGGTTTATTTTAATTTTTTAAAATAATCAGCAAAGTATAATTTTGACAACTTGAGAACTCTTAATCACTGAATTGTGGGCAGGGCTGCCAGATGTCCCCCTTATGGGAAAACAGTCCCACATTTCGAGATTTGTCCCCCCGGTTGCTCCTCTTTGGAAGAATTTTTTCTTCTTACTATCTCCAATAGACTTTACAGCCTTGTATTATGCTTTTATTCAATAGTCTTGTAGCATTAATACCTTTTCTTATGTAATGTGCAGAACGTATGCAAACTATAGTCCTATTTGTCTATCTGAGAAAAGGAAATCTACATGGAAAGCCACATTTTACCTTAGATATAGCATTATTTTAAGCAGAAACGAAAATAAGACTGCCTTAGTAAGAATCTTAGACACGTCTTAAAATTATCTTACTAATTTACCCTTAAAGATTCTGATAAGATAATCTAAGATCTTAACTATATATAAAAAAGAGTTAAGTGAGGCAATGAAGGAGCCTCATACAACCGTTCGTCATTGTTCATAACCGTACAGAATGCCGCTGAAATCGTTTTTTCTTAAATTTTTGATTAATTCGGAAAGCTGGTTTTAAATTTCCTGTGAGTTTTTTAGTTTTGTCTAGAGGACTATCCTTAGATAATTGGAATTCGTACTGGTACAATAAAAAATTCTTGATTCAATCGAAAGGAATTGCACTGCTTTTAAGCGGTGCAATGACGATATTTCTACCGACAATTTTATAAATTTAAGCTTTTCAAAAATTTTAAAATTCAATTTTTGCTTTGAAACTTTCACTTCTATTTGTTAAGCTGTCAGATTCGTAATCAGCATGAATAATTACATCTGGTGATGTGCTTGTAGCATTTCTGCGATGAAAAGTGTTTTTACAAACTTAATCAGTGAAGTGTCGCGTTACGTGGACAAGCCGTAGATGAAGTACTACTTCGAAAATAAGCAATTTCTTACTTTTGCAACATCTATAGCGCAGAAAGTAAGCATCTTCGAACAACATCGCTGGCAGAGTCCTTTATTTCCTATGCAACAATAATCTGTCAGGATAAGTCGTTCTTTGGAAATGCAGTATTTTATTCGAGTAGAAGTACCCGCTCACTCTTTGTTGAGCAGAAACTGTCAGTTATCACTTCATCATAGATGAGAAGTTTAATCTGAATCTAAAGCACAGTATTTTACTCAAATCTACGAACGCATGTCACATTTTATTTAAATCTAAAGGCCAGTTGTTCAAATACAATGTGGCAAAGTATGAAAATACCAAAAACAGCTAATTGGAACAAAATGTTCAGTTTGGTTCAATTAAAGCTAAATCACTAATATTAGTAAAAAGCTGAACTCTACTTTTGTTTATTATATTGTCATTAATAAACTTTTCTAATTTTTCACCATATAATCCTGCACGATGTTGTTTCAAGTAATCAGTTGTTCGAATAATTAATGTATTCAGGCCAGATAAGAATTTTACATCATTCCATGTTACCACCACCCCATGAATCTTATTTTCATTCGCATATTGTTTTAACCTTGTAACTGTATTATGTAACAACGATTTTGCATTTTTTATGAAGGGCGCTTTAGTCTATCTGTTCATCAAAAAGAATCAGCATATGGCTATGTCGAACTTTCGAGTTAGAGTAGGTTCTCCTTGAAAATCGATCTTTGAAAAATATTTGTAAATATTTTCTGCTTGCAGAAACATGCGCTTGGATCTTGGCTATCGAATAGCGAAAACCGCAAGTCTTCATCTACTTTCGTTCAACAGTTATTCAAAGAATGGCCTTCGGTCTTATATTCGATAATAGATTTAAGTAACAATCGAGTAGTCGAGTATCGAGTACTCGGGCTCGGTGCATGCCTAACGCTCTTTCGACTCGGGCAATATTTCGACTTTTTTCAATAGAATCAGTTTACTATTTGTTTTCTAGATCAGATATCTATGGATCAAAGATCTTTCGAAGTTTCGAATTCCTCAACGAAATGTACATTTAATGTTGCTTATAGGTCAGTTTATTGTGAGTCACTAGAAGAGTTTTTATTAATATCTGCTCAAATTAGACTATTAAACTTACATAACAATTCAGTAATGAAAACTCGAGAAATGATTGACGGTAAAGAATATTATTCAGAAGAACAAATCACAAAGATAATAAATGAAGTCCTTGAAAATGAAACATGTTTATCATCAAAAATGGTATCTACATCTGGTTATGGTAATTTATATTTACAAAATCATTCACAAATAAAGTTCCCGATATTTGTTTGTTGAGTGAAAGATCGTCAATATATAGTGAACAAGATTTTGTTCCATGGAACATTGTTTCATTGATTGAATTGAAAACACAACGTGAGTCTAAATCAAATAGTTATATTATCACGGAAGCAGACAAACAACAACTATTTTTATATTGTTTCAAAACTCTGCGTTTCTCACCAAATCGCAAATTCATATGTGCTGCATTGACAAATTTTAAAGAATTGCATTTTTTGAAAGTATCAGTTGGTGATGACAACAAATTTGAATTTGAGGCAGCACAAATTGGTCAGGTGATGCTATTAAACCATATATTAAAATTCATATCATGTGAGAGTAAATTTTTGGGATTTGTCGGTTATAAGTTACCAGCTGGTTTGGATATCAAAGAACCATTGGACAGTGGTTCATCTTCGTATGTTCTCAAATGTACATATAATAAAGATGTTTACGCAAGTAAAATATCTAGCAATAAATTAGATGAAGAGTATAATATAATTAAACAATTGAACAGCATTTCGATCAGTTCAGCGATAAATCGATTAAATGCCTACTATCCTGAGACTGGAAATAATGACTATGATGTTCTCCTGGTAAAACCAGTTGGTCGACAACTTTATACTATTGATGATGTGCTACGACATGTACATTCAATATCTGCACAATTGAACTTGTTACATTCTATTAACTATGTTCATCGAGATATTAGAACGCCAAATATGATACTTACAGAAGATTTGAATGATATGCTGTTGATTGATTACTCAAGTTGTGCAATAATTGGCAAAATGTCTTCATATCATGGTAGTTTATCAACATGTGCATTGCCAATATTAAAACAATTATTAGCTACAGAAGCTGAACGAAATGCAATTATCGACTTACTTCAGACATACTTCTTCTAATGTCTGCCTTCATGGAAAACTAAGAACATACTATCGCTCGAAATGCTCCGTTTTATCTTTAACAAACACCTGTTCTGCTGCACTTTTACAATAGTGTTAGCCACTTTCTATCCCATGCATGATGTCGCACATGAAAACGAATACTGTCACGATACTCAGCAGACTGGACTATATATGATTCAACTCTCTTCTCAAGTCTATCAGACCTGAAGAATCGAAGCGAGATAGGTCTCAGCAAAAGTGAGT